GGTCGCAATGGGAAGAGCGGGATGGGGAAAGCAGGCGGACGAGGATGTCGGGAGAGGATGTCGCGAGATGGGAGAGCGTGGGGGCAGTTAAGCAATTGCGAAAACCAGAGTTTAAAAATTAGGGGACAAGCTAACATCTCTCGCTCACTCTCTCTTCAATGCTTTCTTTATCCCGCTGCTCTCTCTCTCTCTCTCTCTCTCTCTCCCCCCCCCCCTCCTCCTTTTTGTTTATTGTGATCTGCTTGCCCCGAGAACACAAGTGCTTGCACACAGACACGCAGTTTGAACCTCCCAACGACCATGCAAGCGAAAATTGTTTGCTGATACTGGTTTTGAGAGGGGCAGGACTCGATATCCCATTGCGCGCGCGCGCGCGCGCGCGAGAGAGAGAGAGAGAGAGAGAGAGAGAGAGAGAGAGAGAGAGAGAGAGAGAGAGAGAGAGAGTACATGTGGAAGCCTGATACTCCGCCTGTACGGGCGTAGCCGCACTTGTTTTAATGGTCGGTTCTGATTCGATCAGGATTTGAACTCACGGTTTGTTTATTGGCAGCTACAGGTGCGTGTGTACATTGCCGTCATATGAGCTGGGGATGGGAATAACGAACGTTTGAGATCATGTTTTTTTTTTGTTTTTTTTGTTTTTGTTTTTCCAACTCACTTTCGCACCTCACTGTGCACTCCTCCCTGCGGTGTGTTGTTGCTGTCTTGTTTTGTCTCTTTCCGTTTGTTCTCGCAGACTCGATTGATTAGCGGCATTCGGAGAACTGGATCTGTAAATGTATATACAGATAGAGGGTTCGGCCTCCTGATCGAGGAGTCGGCTCATCTCCGACGAAACAGTTAAACTTTGTCACAGCCCCTCGCTTGTTTGTCCTCTTGTCCCTCTCCGCCTACGGTTTACCGTCCGTTCTGTTTGATGACATTCAGTGTGACAATATCACAGCCCCTCGTTTGTTGTCCTCTTCTCTCTCTCTGCCTACGGTTTACCGGGCAGTTCTGTTTGTGACGATATATATATATATATATATATATACGACGATATATATACGATATATAAACCCCTCATTTGTTGTCCTCTTCTCCCTCTCTGCCTACGGTTTACCGGGCAGTTCTATTTGACGATATATATATAACTCGAACAATATGTGTGATAGGCCAGCAGTTGAGTGATCGTGTGCTTCTTTTTTTTATTTATTTTTTAATTTTTTTTATTTTAATGAACTGCGGCCGTCTTCCATTTCATCTTCAAGGTTTTTGTGTCCTGTTCCTTCTTCCTGGGTTGTTGGGGCGCTTTTCCTTTTCTTTCCCCCCCCTTCGCCCCCCCCCCCCACCCCGTCCTGGCCCCATTTTGTGACCTTTAATGGACTCTGATTTGTGAGTAAGGCTAGGCTACTAGCGGAGGGAGTCGGGGGGAATGGTATCCGGATCCAGCCTGCTCTTTTGTGCCCTTTGTTCCATACCCCTTAAATAATAAGGTACAGCCTACTTGTGCTCGTAGTAGTTTGCCCAGCTGGAAGGCAGACACAGACTTCTTCGTGACCTAATAATCGATTTGATCTTTTTTTTTTTTTTTTTTTTTGTAATCATCTTCTTTTATATTAGTCTTCTACTATCTAATTACTGTAAGAAGACAATCGAGTGTGATGGAGGGGTTGCGCAGGGCTGGGGCCCGAACTTGTCGGTCCATTTTTTTGTCCTCGTCCTCCCCTCTGTGCTACACTCCTGCCGCTGCGTTTGCAACCAGTAAGGCGAAGGCTGCGCCGAAGAAGAAATCGGTAATATCCAAAAGCGCGAAGTCGAAAGCAGCAAAGACTCCCAAGGCCAAGGCTGAACCAGCGAAGGGCAAGTTCGACGGTCTCTTGGACAAATACCTCCAGCCTCTTGCGCATCCATCAGAGGCATCCAGCAGCACAGAGGAGCAGAGACAAAGGGAGAGGGAGATGGCATCGCAGTACAGCCGCCTTCTGGTAAGTGTAGCAATGGGTGCGCAGTGTGAAAAAAAAAGGGAAAAAAAAAAAAAAAAAAAAGTAAAATACAATTACAAGAAGGGAGAAGTTGCGAAATAGCCCTGAAAGTTGAGCTATAAGGTTAAATGGCATCAAAGTGCAGCCGCCTTTCTGGTGAGTGTAGCAATGGGTGAAGTGTGGAAAGTAATAATAAGAAACAATAAAAATAAAATAAAATAAAATAAAATAAAATAAAATATAATAACAAAGAAAAGAGAATTTGGGAAATACCCCTGAAAGTTGGGGTATATGGTAAAATACCCCTACAAGATGTGGTACTGCGGAATACCCCTCAAGGGCCTCAACATTTCGAAAGGTTTGTGAAATGCCATTTGGATTTAAATCTTTGCATTATACCCCTGTCACCAGGCTGTCAGAGGATTGCCAAGTTTGTGTTGTATCCCTGTCAGGGGCACAAGGCAAAGATGAGCAATCCCCTGACAGGGGTAGAATGCGAACGTTGCGAATCCGAAAGTGTATTTTTCGTAGGGTTATTCCGCTCTACCCATATCTTTTGGGGGTGTTTTAGCATATACGTGAACTTCCAGGGGGCATTTCGCAAATCTCCCCCCCAAAAAAATAAAAATAAAAAATAATAATAATAAATGAATAGTAAATACAATAATACACTTGGCTACCAGCTGGGCCGCCCGGGTCACCTCGTTTGTTATAATTATTATTATTATTTTATTTTTATTTTTTGCCCGGCCGGGCGAGTGGTCCCTGCCCACTCTGGAAGCCTAGATAATACAGTAATAAGTTCCTAATATTAATAATAATTAAAAGTAATAATTTAATCGTTTATTATGGTGATGATGATGATGTTGATATTGATATTGATATTGATGATAATGACGATGATGATGATGATGATGACGTTTATCCTCCTTTTAAGAGGTGAAAATCCCCTGATTGCCGCTTATAGCACGTGGAATTCCACGAATGCCACTGGCAGAATGTACCTGGGTGTGTCTGGATGACCAGATGCATTCGTAAAAGAGGCAATGGCGATCTGAGAAGTTTCCTCTACAGCTCTCTGTGTACGAGGTCCTCATCTTTTGGATGATCTATGTATGTGATGCACTGCAGTCTCGTGTACATTTTTAATTGCCAAGTCCCTTTTCACGTTGAAGTTCTTTCTCACATTTGGTGGGATGGATTTTCGTGTTCGTTTCTTTGAAAATTACGTGGTTTTCTTTTGACTTAGCAGCCTTTTTCCAGCACGCGCTCCATCCATCCAGTTACCCTTTCACCGAGCCGCGAGTCCTATGTCGCGAACCCCCTCCCCCCTCCCCCCTCCCCTTTCCCCCGCCTGCCCTGCTCATTTTGGAACTCCGACTCCACCACCAAAACCACTTCCTCATCTGAGCCCTTCTTCTTGAAGAGCCTTCTTTCCTTGACCCTCCATCTATGCAGTTCTGATAGCGTCCTTATTGTCTTATTTTCTTTTCTTCTCTTTTTTTCTTTTTTTATTTAACTGTTCCCACCTCGGCAGATAGGACAGGTACAGTGAGGATGATGTGGATGTTCACAAGGATACCCAAGGAGAGTTGCGCGAGCACAACATTCAGCAGGACGGCTAGCACGAACCATCCCATCAAAACAGTCCTGACAGAGGACATGTTGTCCACACGTCAAAAGAACAGCAGGACGTTCATCACAGTGCGGCATCATGCAGTTCTGATAGCGTCCTTGGGCACAAAAGGGACAACTTATATCTGGGTGATAGGGATGTGTACAATGAGGAAATGTTGGACAGCCTTCAGCACAGACAGCGGTAGTCACAATAAATTGATAATGGTGATGGCATAGATGATGAATGCCACAACCAAGACGCACTGCGTCTCTGCCCCGACAGGTGTCACACGAGAGTCGGTCAATAATCCAGAATAAAGTATGATTCGGCAATGCACCCAAAAACTCGTTTATGTTGGAAATAGCCTGAATCATCGTCCCACCATCCCACAGTTCCCACTGGGCAGCTGCACGAACGAGTGCCATATAATGCCCGGGTCTGTGTAAAATACAGGCAGAAATATGAGGATAGTCATTGAGGTCGTTGCCTGGCGTCGCATGATGCATAAGAAGGTGGCGACCATGGAAAGCTAACTGTAAGACATTTACAGTAAAGCGTGAAGAAGAGGTGGGGCTTTCCTTCCTCCCTTCTTTTCCTTTCCTTGTTTTGCCTTTTTCTATATCGTCAAACAGAGCTGCCCGGTAAACGATAGGCAGAGAGGGAGAAAAGGACAAGAAACGAGGGGCTGTGACAAACTGTTTCGTCGGAGTTTCACCATCAGACTTATCAGGAGGCTGAACCCTCAAAAACAGTCTGCAGACTCCCCAAACTGATTACACTGTAGGTGATAATCCACCTTAACCTCGGTTGTGGTTAAGCATATATTTTACTATCATGTGAGCCAGCCACGTTCACTACGTTCTACACATGCCTCCTTGCACCATCTTCAACAACACTTTGCCATTATCCCTGTGGACAAAACATCACACAATTTGGCAATTTGCTGCAAGAATTGGTATCTGTTTCATCTCTCTACCCATTTGGACAGTCCCACTTATACTCGTCCTCAGGAGTCTGTTGCTGATGCCCTTGACCACCATGCAGTGTGGAATCACTATTGGCGTTACACCCATACTGATACCCTACCTTACCTTTACTATGTACTCAAAGCTCACAAGTCTCCTCCAGCTCTTCGCAGCATTCTTGGAGTCACAGGATAAAATAACAGTACTGTTCCGCCGCTGCTCGCCCTCGTCCAACAATTCGCACTATTCATGAACGGCCTCCTCACAAACCCTTGGCTAGCACAACGACTACTTCATCGTATCTCAGCGCTGCTTTGCAAGGAGTGATCTCTACTCTTCGCGAGAAAGACACTGAGCTCTATCAACAGGTTGGTGTTCGACGATGCTGGATCATTCAGAGTGTCGATGAAGTGGCGATTGACCTGAACAACAATGCATCGTCTCTTTGTGGCCTCTCTCCTCGCACTGTTGATTTTACCACAATGTACACCAATCTTCCTCATGACTGCATTCTGAATAATGTGGCAAAAGTTGTTGATGAAGCTCATGCTTATGCCCTTCGGCAAGTTCGCACGCATTTACGCTGCGTTGCCCTCAACATGGTTATTCGAGGACCTCGTTGTGGCCAATGGACAATTGATTCATGCCTGGATACCCTTTTTGTTTCTCAGATTCTCCAACATCTTCGCTTTGTTGTACAAAACACTTTTCTATACACTAGACATGACACACTTCAGAAACAAATTATCTGTATTCCAATGGGAACGAATGCTGGCCCATAAATTTTTAATCTGACGCTGTATTGGGATGAAGCACGCTTTGTTGATGACATTTGTCAACATGATCTTCAAGCTGCTCAACAATATGCCTTCACCTATCGCCTCATTGATGATGTTCTTTCATGGGGACAATTACCTCCTCCACCGGAGCACTATTGGCTTGAGTGGAAGAAGACTACAGCTAAAGATGGTTCCTGTACCTTTTTAGTTATGCATCTACGGGTCCGTTCCGATGGCTCACTTCGCATGAGCGTCTTTGATAAAGCGGCTGCTTGGGACTTCCCTGTCATTCGTTATCCAAGTGCGACCTCCAACGTCCCTTCCCATCAACCGGCTGGTGTGTTCACTGGCCAATTGACCAGATTTGAACAAATGTGTAACAATTGGCAGAACTTTCGAACTGCAGCAACAACACTTACTCGTCATATGCTTTCGCGTGGGCATCCCCACCAACCCTTGCTAAGGGGTGGGCCTGCTACATGCGCTCCCGCCAACGTCGCTATCCTACGCATGTGACGCGTCTCTCTCAGTGGTTCCGACGCATGCTGCGATGGTCCTTGTATCATCCAATTTCTTCTTCACCCTCAGGATGCTCTCGTCCTGCCCCTGCTTGCTCATCTGCTGCTACCGCAGTTTTCACTGCTGCAGTCTCCACTCCTGCAGTTTCCACTGCTGCAGTGCCCACTGTTGCAATTTCCACTGCTGCAGTGTCCACTATTGCGGTTTCCACTGCTGCAGTTTCCATTGCTCCAGTTTCCACTGCTCTAGTTTTCGCTGCTGCAGTTTCTACTGCTGCGGTTTCCACTACTGCAGTTTTCAGTACAACAGTTTCCCTAACTTTAATTCCCCCTACTTCAGTTTTTACTGCTACAGCTTCCTGTCCTGCGACTCCAATGCAAAGAATATCACAATCTCTCTGACGCTCACGTCCTTTGCTCCGAAATCTTGCCCAATGCACCCCCCTCTCATCTTTGTCTGTGCTTGGTCATAGACGGCAGTGTTCCTCCTCACCACCCCCATCTCCTCCACGGTCCCGCTTGCGAACAGACTCTTCCATTGTTCCCATTGTTCCACCTGCGTTGCTAGGTACAAGTTCAGCTTCTGCTTGCAACACCACTGCTCCTCTTGTTGTGTATCGCCGACGACATCCGCGACATCGTCACTTTTTCGGGGATCAGCATCCTGTTTCTTTGTCTGCCCGATTCTCTCTGTGCCTCCACAGTTTGTTGCGATTCCTTCGTTTCAAACGGCAATATCCGCTCCTATGCCTCCTGCAGACAGTCCAGCTGCCTGCAGGCAGCCACCAGTCCCTCCTCAAGATGCAGCCGCTGCCCAGAGTACACTCCCGACTCCAGGTACAGTCCCTACTCAGGATGCAGCCCTAAACATTGAGGAATTGGAACATGATCTGCCCAGATTGCAGTTGACCCAACAAGGCGTAGACCACATGGGGGATCTGCAAATGGCTGACCAGCATTGTTCGGAGGAACCACAATTTTGTGCTCTGCCACGCGCAGACCACATGGGTGATCTGCAAATGACTGACCAGCAAACAACCCAACACAGTTTGGGCTTGCAACACCATCTGGGTGATCTGCAAATTGTTGGCCAGCATCCAACAAACCAGTCGGAGAACCTCACCAATCTTTGTGGTCTGACAACAACTAATATCTGTCTTCACATTCTCCATCGCCCATTTTATACACCATCAGACTTCCTTGCAATCGCCCTTCAGCTTGATGCTGATCTTCCCCAACGACAGCCAAAGGATTGTAATTATACCAGCGAAGGAGGCTTTACCATTGCTGTCGTACAAGTAGCAATGAGGGACTGTCAACTTGAACTATGCAATGCTCGAGCAAGTGAGTGGTTTAATCCTCCATCCCACATCTTTGCTTGCATTGTGCACGGCCTTGGCCATTACATGGTCATTGTACATGCCTCTGACCACTGGGAGCTGTGGGACAACGGCACCATGATCCATGCCATGATTGATGTCACTAATTTCTTACAAAATGATGCTGTTTTCGTGCCACAACAAACCATCCGCAATCTCTTTTATGTTGAAGATCATTCCTCTGGTCCCGTGCTGCAGCAAGACAATGTACCAACACTCTGCGACCTTCTCCTTTGCACAGCCACAAACATTGTTACACTCGGCTGTAGCCGCCATCGTCTCTGTCACAGTCACTACAATGACATGGTTTCTGCATCCATGTGTGCAGAGGACTGTCCCACCGTTCCTGACTGCAGGCACCCTCCGCATCCGGACACTATATGTCCATTTTGCGGCCGTGGGCGCTATACTGAATGCGTGCTCTTTTGTGGTGACCGTTCTTCTTTCATTTTGGCCTGCAATCGACATGCCATTTCTCGGGGGTGTATGGTGGGCATGCTCAAAGCCACCCGTCGTGGCAATTGTTGCACTGAGAATGCTCAGCTAGGTCTTCCATGTGTTCATCCACGTCATCCTTACAATGTATCTCCTCTTTGTCGTCAAGGACAGACTCATTCTTGAGCCTTTTCTTATCCTCTTTTGCCTTCATCTTCACTCCACACTCCATACTTCCCCTTACTTTCCCTTTAATCGTTCTTTGTTTGTCTGCTCTCCATCTCTCCTCCCTGTGTTTATCCCCTCCGCCTCCACTCTGCCTCTTTCTTACAGCGTACAAGTGGGCTGTTATGGCATACGGGGATGGGGGCAGCACGCGCTCAACTTCATCAACGTGGCGAGCCTTGTACGTGAGAGGCACGGTGAAAAAGGAGTCAACAGAAGAATGAGAAAAATGAGTGGTTTCACTGTGCCCTTCATGTTTGTCTTGTTTTTTTTTTTGTTTTTTTTTTTTGCCGTTTGTTTCGCGAATTGCACTCTATTAGTTCATATATATATATTTATATATTCAGTCTCCTGACGAGTCAGTGAAACTCCGAGGAAACAGTTTGTCACAGCCCCTCGTTTGTTGTCCTCTTCTCCCTCTCTGCCCACAGTTTACCGGGCAGCTCTGTTTGACGATATATGATATGTAGAACAGTTTGTCACAGCCCCTCGTTTGTTGTCCTCTTCTCCCTCTCTGCCTACCGTTTACCGAGCAGCTCCTCTGTTTGACGATATATATACAGTCTGTCACAGCCCCCCATTTCCTGTCCATTTTCTCCCTTTCTGCCTACGGTTCATGGGGCAGTTCACTATGACCGTATATATACATACATGCCGAGGTGCTCTCTCCTCTTTGGATGTTTTTTTTCTTGGTCCTGCTGTGCAGTTAAGAATGAAGGGTTGCTTCCCCTTTTTGTTCCTTTCGTCTCTCTCCTCTCATTCTGCTGCGTTTTGCCTGTCTGTTTCAATTGATGTGATGCATATATGTGCAGATGGGCCGGCACAGGGCAGAGATGAAGGCTCTGAATCTCCAGATTCAGCTTAAGGAAGCAGCAATTGCAGCGCTTCCCGAGGATTTGCGGGAAGCAGCGCTGGTGCCCGATTTGACGCCGTTTCCAATTAACAGATTTGCGGCGACCCTGACCCCTCCGATTGCCGGCTATGTGGAAGAGACCACAAAGGAAGCGCAAAGAGCGGCTGCAGGCTCGAAGAGCAGATAACAGCAGTAGTAGCCCAGGGATAGCTAGCTTGCTTGCTTTCGTGTAAAGCGTAGTGTGTCTTCTAGATGTAGGCAGCAGCAGCCTGGTAGCCACCACCCCTTCTTCATAGCCAAAGGGACCATACCCCCCCCCAACCCTCCTTGCCCCCCCCTTCAGCGCCCCCGCCCCTCCCCTACCACCTCTCCGACCCCAATTTGTTTGTTTTTCAAATGTGACACATCTAGGCAGCAGCCTGGTAGCCACCACCCCTCCTTCACAGCCAAAGTGATCATACCCCCCTCCTTGCTGCCCCCCCCCTCCCTCCCCCACCATTCCCTCCACCTCCACCTCTCCGACCCCAATTTGTTTGTTTTTTTAAATGTGACCTTCCTTGTTGGTTCGTCGGACTGTATCGGAGCAGTTTCTTGTTTCCAAATGATTCAAATTGAATGAATTGGGCGGCGTTGACGCGGAAACAAAATCCATTATGAACGACTTGAGTGCCCCGAATCAGAATTGTATGGAATGAACTTTTAGTCAACGCACTGAACAGGAGGAGAAATGGACTGAGCTTGCGTTGTTGGGGACATTTGTTAAAAAGTAATAAAAACATCTGGAACGATACAGAGAAGATTGGGATCATGGAAGCCGTGTGGTTGAGCGTGCAACTCCCATGAGGGAGGTGCCGTGTTCGATTCTTGAAATCGGATGATGGACAAAAAAATGCAATGCAATCATGGAAGCCGTCTGAGCACGAAAACCATGATGGCTGAATCGAAGATCATCCTCACAGGGGGACCAAAGTACCTTACATCCCGAAAATCCGAGGCAGGTTTTGGGTCGCATTGGAGAGGCCTGCTAACCAAATGCTCTTTTTGGTGACCCTTTTGTCAGCAGCCTGCCCGGCCGCGGGAGGACCCTTTTTGAGACCGCCCCAGAAGTGCTTGCGAATGACTTTTTTTTCTTTTCTTCTTCCGGTGAGTTAATTGCGGAAATTTGTGGATGAAGGAAACAGCCCGCCAAACAACTGTGCAGTGTTGAAGGGAAAAAAAAAGAAAAAAGATCTACAGTTTTGGGGTCCTCCCAAGTGTGACCGAGCAGCGTCCAAGTGTCAGGGCCGCTACTCTGTCCTTTGTGGACAGAGTCCGCCCGTGTGGCTGGGCACCCAAAGTCGCAAATTGGCGGTAGCAAATGGTGCGAGTTTTTGTGACTTTAGGTCCCTGTATGAGTATGCCCTAACGGTCTGAGCGGAAAAAAGAAAAAAGAAAAAAAGATTGGCATCATGGCCCCTGTTTAAGCCTTTAAGGATGATACTCGCAAATTGAGAAATGCTCCAGAAAGAGAAAAAGGGGAGGAGAGAGGGGGGGGGAGGGGATCGAACTGCGCAGAAGTGAATTGGATGAGTTGAAGGCGATGCCTGATATCAATTGATTGCTTGTTTTACTTGTGTAAGTTTGCTGAGCGAACACATCATCGACCCATCCATCATTGTAAATTCGAACTATTATTGATGAACCTACTGATCTAGGAAGGTAGCTCGCCAAAAAAAAAAAAAGGAAGGTAGCTCGCCTGTTCAAGCAGGACGTCGAAGTGGGTAGTCTCGGCCAGGTATGTTTCCGGTTTGGAAATCTGGGCAGGTCCGATGCAGCACCCATCGAGAGGTTCAATGTAATTATTAATTATGAGTAATTCTGCGCAAGGATAATGAGCGAGAGTGAAATGAAAGAATTCCAAATTGCATTATCGCATTGAAAGTCAGATTGTCGTGAGCTGTCCAGAAAGCAGAAATGCATCGATATCGCACCTAAGGAGACCAAAGCAAAGAACTCAATTGTCAATGTCAGCCCTCTCTCGCCACCATCAAGTATCTATCTGACGTTTCTTCTCCCTATTGGCGCTCAGCGCTCAGACTACAATCACACAGCTCCTAAGCTAGCCTACACTAATGACGGAGCAACTGGATGACGTCAGCAGCAGTAACCAAAGTACGTGCAGAAGTCGCCCATGCAGTCCACCATGGCGAACGAGGTACACGCCCTCTCTCCGTCTCTCTCTCGACGCTCACCCTCGCCTTCTCGTCCTCCACCAAAGACCACCACCATACCCCACTGACCCTCTGCACCCAAAGCCTGCCTATGGATGGCAGCGCAGCGCCCTCCTCCTGCCTGTGCCCGCGCAGTTCCAGCCAGCGGCCTTACCAGCGCCCAGAATGGCAGCGCTGCGGCGTATGCGCAAACTGCTCAAATGTTCTCTACGCCGCCAGGCTCTTATCTGGATGGAAAGTGGCCGCGTCCGATGGCTGGCTGGGCTCGCGGGCTCTTGTGCCCAGTATAGCTTCACGTTGGGCCAAAGTGTCTGCACGCAGGCCCCATTCAGACAGCGGCCTGGGACGGGGATAGTTAGGAGATGCCCAACTACCAGACGTGGCTTGCGTCGCTCTCGGCAGCATGATAGGGCAAAAGGTCTGCTTCCACGTACAGCCTGGATGAGCCTTGAAGGCTCAAGCAGTCACGGTACCTCGCAGGCAGGGCCTATGTAACAAAGTGTGGTGCGCGCGAGGTAACCCTCTCTCCGGCGCCCACGAGGGCTTCAAAATGGCAGAATTTAGGCCTCATCGAGATGTGCAGGCCCGCCTTCACTTAGTGCAGGCACAAGGCTCGCATTGGGCCCCCATAAGGGCCTGCCGAGGACAAAGATCCTCGCCCTCCACCCGCCTTTATGTCGCTAGTCCTCTGACAAGTCCTTAATGAGCCAGCTGCTTCCCTTCCAATCCTCTTTCGTATCCTGCGACAACCTCTGGAGGTGTCGTCATCAACTCTTCCCTTGTGAACCAGCGGTCTTCCTTAGGATCAACATGATGCCTGAACCGTACCCTGTACTGCATCTGTGGTTTGGGAGGTCTACCTCTTCCTGGTGGCGTTGGGACTGACATCGTCTTGTGCTCTATGATATTGTCGATGTTGACATCTGTCCATGGGAGGCGGCCAAATCCTGGATTCATCTGGAAACTTTGCCTGGACCGTCAGACATGCGAGGGATCTGTGACCAAAATTGACCTCCGGACAAATCTTCGACTCTTGCTCTCAGGTTTGGGATTGACTGTTGTTGACTTTCTCAGCTCTCCCTCTTTGCCCGTGATCCGCGCTTGTCTTGCTCGGCAGGCCTGCATGTTTTTATTTTTTTATTTTTTTTTATTTTTATTTAGCTGAGTGGGGATCTGGGCCGCCCGGGTGACCGGCAGGGGCCCGGGGAAGGTCCCGGGCGGCTTGGCCGGGCAGGGCACCCTGTTGGAGGCCGGCCCCCCCTAGCTCGTGATCCGCCCTTGTCTTGCTCGGCAGGCCTGCATGTTTTTTTTTTTTTTTAGGCGTTTAAGCTACCCTAACGCTCATCAATTTTTTTTTTTTTTTTTTTTTTTTTTTTTTGAAGTGTTTAACCTGCCCTAACTCTCTTTTTTTTCTTTTCTTTTTGTTCTCACAATTTCTCAGTATAGCAACGTTTCTCAGACTGGAGCATAGGCTTCTGCGGCCTTTGACCGACTCTGTAGGACATAGAGACTGACTAGGGTCTCTTTTTGGATGTGCAGGTTTCCGAGCCTGTTTCCGCGTGCTCCTTTGGTCCTGTTTTTGGGGTCGCTGAAAAAAGGGATTCCTCATTAGCAGAAAAAAAAAAAGCGACTCCTCTTGGGTTGGCCAAAGGATGAATAGTCCGGCGGCGGATTGACGGGCAGCTGGCGGACTATTGGGTTAGACGGATAGTTCGGCTGGGCTGTTACTACTTCCCATGTATCTTCATCAATCTAGCCATTTGGCTTTTTCACTACTCGGTGACTATGTGCATTGTTACGTGTGCATTCTTCTACATCCACTGGTTTAAGGGTACCCGACCATTCCAGGCCTACCCGAGTCGCCGGAAAATGGCACTGGGTCTCCCCCAAATTCTACTTTTGCCCTTGTATGTGGCAGACTTCCTTCTAAGCTTGTCCAGCTCCATTGCTACCTCTATCTGTACACCTTTTTGACCTCTCCTGGGACACACACAAAAAAAAACGTGAGAGTGAAGTTAGTTTACGGGCATAGCAAGTGTCGCGTATAGTCTTTGACACGGGCAATTCAGCAAAACTCTCGGAAATCTTCAGCAAACGAGAGCAGCAGATGGCGATAGTTACAAGACTGCCGAAAGCTCGGACTGCAATTGTGCGGGTCATTGCACTCCAGTGTGCTATTGTGGGTTTTCAACATAGACCTGTAGTAGGGGATCTGTGCTTTTTCTTAACAATCCACCTGTGTTAACAGCTAGGAGTGACGGTAAGAGCATATCTGCGCTTTCCTCTCTCAACTGTGTAGGTCAGTGTGTGTTCCATCTTTGAAATAACACAGGAATTGGTTGTCTTGTAGTGTGGTACGTTATTGTGGGTTTTCAAGATAGGCCTGTAGTAGGGGTTCTGTGTTTGTCATGGTGATTGCGTGTAGTAGTCCTTATAGTCAATGCACATAAAAAACTTGCCCTCCTCCTCGTGCAGCATGGACAGAACATGCGCACCGCACGTAGAGGAGCTTCGTCGAGCTTCGTCTAATCCATCCCTTCTTCACGATGCTTCCAGTTGTCTGGAGTTCATCCAGTTTGGTATGCGACAAGCCTGTCAATTTAGCCCCCTAGGAATTTTACTACCGGCCGTGTGCAGCACGGGTCGGCCACCCGGGGCACGTCGCAGGGGGGGTCTGACACCCGGGTATCCAGGCATGACCGAAAAGTGAATAACTGGGGTCATTTTTTTTTCTTTTGTTCTTTTTTGGCGGTGGAGGTTTTCCACACATGCCCCAAGGAGCCCAATTTCGTCGGGTGGGCTCTTTTCTTCTTTTTTCGGGTGTTGCCTGTCAAGGAGGGAGAAAGGGGGGTATAAATTTGTTTGAAAGGGGCTAGAGGGGTGTAAAGGGGCATGCCATAGTCCGATTCTGTTATTTTGAATATTTCCTTTTTTATCGTCAATTCCGTGAGGAATTCTGATGTGACCCTCAGTCAAAAGTCGTTTGCATTGCAATTCTATGCAACATTTTTTTTTTCTTTCCCTGGAAGTTTTTTTTTTTTTTTTTTTTTTTAATTGGGGTGCTGGAGCTGCCTGGACCCCTGGCCGGGGGGTCATGTTTGGCTGGGCATGTGGGCGTGTATCCGGGCACAAGTTGGGTGCCCGGCCTATGCACTGGCACTTTGTTTTTTTTTTTTTTTTTTTTTTTTTCCCACATAAGAATACTCTTGTGCTCCATCTATTCTGGGGGCCCACAGTCCAGTCACTCAACATCTGCGAGCAGTTACAAGATGTATGCAGCATGAACAGAAAAGGCAGCAACAATCCCTTCAGAGCCCTAGGCGCTGTGAATCAATGATACGACGGGGGGTGGGCAGCAAGGTGTGTACCGGCATATATATATGTATATATATCCCAAATCCAGGAGACACACACCGTTCCCGGTTGCCTGTCGATAGCGTTCGCGGTCGC